ATTTTCTTTTACTTTGCTATAAGTGCATAAATATCCGCTGTATAGTTATTATTTACCTGGCATTTTTGTTATCGAAACCGTTAATATTCAGTGGAAATTTGCTGTGCTCTTGGTTTCATTTGTTAACGCTAGATGGTCGTGTTTGCGTTGTGAGTGTGGTAAACAACAAAAATGGAAATTTTATTTTTAGACTGGTGTCTCGGAATTTTGGTTATTGAACACGATAGCGATCTGTTTTCAATAATAGTCACGCCGCAAATGGTATTCTGCATTTTTGTATTATGCAAATGGGCGGATTAGTACGGACACAAAGAGTGAACGATAATTTCAATGTGCTGTGACTTCCTCGAAAATAACTGAAGTTTGTTTTTTTAACGAAGAAACGCGTTATCCTTGAGTGTGACAGTTATTCAAGCTTCTAGATTGATGTAGAAATCGCCAGCTTCTTTGAGAAAGAAAAATTGAAATTTTATATGAGAAGTAATAACAAAACCTCGAACATTTAACTTGTTTAAAGGAACAGCATTTTATATAGACATTAACGCGGTGAAAAAATATACGAACTGATTATTAATGACTATTATTTGTAGTTGATGCAACGTTGCTCGTCGCTGAAAAAGCGATCAAAGAACGCCCGTAATAACAATGACGATCACATTGGCTGGGTTCTTAAAACAATCTTTAATTATAGAAATTAACGCATAGCAATTTATTTCGCATTTATCATAATCAGTACTCATCAGGTCGGCGCCAACTTAAGTGAGCATCTACAGTACCAAATACCGTATTATAGCAGCGCCCTCAGAAGATTATCTATATAAATCTGTACATATAGAGGCTGTTACAGAAATAATTGTCTAGACTTTTGAAGTTCATTCCACTCTGGAAGGTTCTGTAATCAGGAAACAATAGATTAATTCAATTTTTAAAAAAATGCTAGGTGAATCAGATAACTTGTCCATTTCCATCATTTTCCTTATTACTGAATTACTACACTGTTTCTTTCCTATTCTGGTTGACACAATGTTGGAGGTCGTTCAAGAATACAACGCTTATACTATGAGTATCGAATCAAATTCAAATGCTTCCACAAAATGTTACAAAATTAGAATCAAGAAAAATTAAATTAACCCCTAAGAGACTTATTGTCCGAAGAATAACATAAAAACTTGATTAATTCGGTATATCTTTTGGACAGGAAATCCATAATATAGCTTGAATAAATTTAAAAAAAAAGTACATAATATTATCGACTTGATAGGAATTCTGGAATGTACCATACATTACAAAAATATGTATATTGATCGCTCTGCTAATAACAAAGATTCCTTCGTTCTTCGGCGATCATTAGTAAATGACACACAGATAATCCTCGAAGAAACATTACTTTTGGCTCAAACACGACACACCGAACCAGCTGCCATTTGTTCCAACGTTGGTCGTCCGATTTACGCGGCTCCGTCGAGATCACGTATCTCTGTACTCTCATCGGAGCCTTCTTGTCCAATTAAAATTAACCAATCGAGGATAATGTCCGCGAATCGGCCGTGTCGTCGTCGACATGGTGGGGGGAGGGTAGAAAAGAAATCATCTGGCCGCGCATTAATCAGCGTAATTAGACGCTATTTATCCGGCGGTTACCTCTGTCTCTCCCCTCTGCCGTCCTTCTCCACGAGTCGACCAATTGAGACCACGATGGGTATCGATCGGTCTGCTCATTATTGATAATCTATACTCCATAATAACCGACCGATCCAGCTGTGCCACGGTGGCAGCTTGAAGGATTATCGTTGTCCGATAAACGGCCGGTTCTGCCTTCCGTACCTTTGAAATTTGGTTTTTCTTTATAAGGAATTGCGTAGTATAGGTTATTACTTGACGTTGAAAATAAAGTGACATGGTATATAGCGTTTTTATGTTCATATGTGAGAAGATATTGAAACATCCTTTGGAATAGGTGGACATATGTAGGCTGCCGTTTTGGAATTTATTGCCTTGTGTGTTATATTTATTATTAGTTAATAGTTCTAGAATTTCTAGAACCTCATTATTCATGAGTTAGATTGTATTAGAATTTATTCTAGTGAATGTTCAAGGATATTTTGGTAACTGTTTAATTTTATTCTTCAGTTTATGGTGATATTGAGGGTTTATAATTTGAACTGTGACAAACGTTCGCTGGTTTTATGGGAGGTGATTCAATATCTATTGTACTGGAATCTTATGAAAGTTTATCCACTTAATTATAGCGAATATCTAGTAGTTCTGAGTTTTTATCATATAAGGTTAGGTAGAAAAATGAGGATTATTTTTCTTGGCATTTTCGATCGTCAATTTTCTCCTCTTTCTTGCCATCGAACAATAGATACTTACTAAATACAGCATGGCATTACTATAGAATCACCCTAAAATTTTCAACCCTTATGTACTCTAATTAAAATAAAAACGAACCACTCTTTTCCTAGGGAATGTAATCTATCCTTTTCTGGAGAAACGTAATTTCCCATTACGATTTCTGACATTGCATACTTTGTTATTATTTTAATCGCAATACATAAGAATTGAAAATTTTGGGGTGGTTTTATAGTTATACCATGCAGTGTATATACGGTAATATCCATCAAACTGTATTTAATATAATAATAAAATTATTTTCGAAGTCGATCAAACATCATTCAGAATCTAGCACAGTAAATAAAAAATTAAAACAAAATACCCTTACAGAAATTCATATAGGTACAGCTTCGTTTTGCTATCATAGTAACTATTTATGTACCTAAAAAAATATATCGACATTCATTTTCTCTAAAAAGACCAAGAAACAATAGTTTGACTGTGTTTATTAAAAAAATAGATATAGTTGTTTAGCTTTCTAGACGCCAAACTTTCTTTTGGATCGAAGTGCAGAATATTATCATTTGATAAACGATTCGAGGACGTCATTATTGTTGGATAAAATAGGAGATAGCGTTACGGAAGCGACGATTACGGTACAGCCGGATCATTGTGTCCGATCGTGTCACGGTTCAGACGCGGAATTAAACGAATGATTATCATCGTGTCAGGTTCATTATGCGGTGACTGGATGGATCGAGACGAGAGTGACTTCCTTCGGACGCGAAGGAAACGTATATCCAGCGACAAAAATGATTGATTCGACCACATCCGAGCCGGACATGTAAAATTGTTTAACATAAATTATTTAAGCCCCACTAGTTGTATCATCTATCAGATTTGATAGCCGTTTCCGATAATAATACCGTGTCCGTGAGGAAAACAAAAATCTTTCCATTAAAACGTGAAATTCACGAAACGAACGTTCCAAAAACAAATCAATTAATTTTAAAAAGAATTCCAGATAATTTATCTTTCAGAAAATTAAATTTTAACCAGTGTGAAAAGTGACTATTAATTAATTACTCTATTTGTAATCTATATTTTCTATTATTAAATCAAGTTAATCATTAATATTCATACTGCCAGCAAATCGTCCGCAAAAAAATTCGCGTTCAACTCGTAAGATGATTTATCAATTTCCGTCCCCAATATCGTTGTAATCGAGTAGAATCACGAAAGGAAATTAAATCTGCATAGAGGGGAGCTAAGGATCTCTATTTTCCCCGGCGAAATTCTCGATCCTCGGAAATGTCTCATCTGGTGTTATTTCACGTCGCTATTCAGATAACGGTCGTCTCTATTGCGGAGTCAATCATAATTGCCGATCTTTTTTCAATTCCGCTGTCCCGTATTAGCATACGTATCGGTGCCTGTTCCGCGAACGAGTCTGCCAAAACAATCGTGGATCCGCAGATTCTTGTCTCAGATACCGTGAAGGGGATGGAGGGGGGCGGAGAGTAGACGACGGCCCTCATAAAATCACTGAAATTCCATGTTTATTCAATATGCCGGGATTCAGTTTCCTAGTCTTATCTACGATGAGACGATTGGAGGGGACTGAATGATACCGTGCCTCGAACAATTTTGCGGCGATAAGCATTCGATCTCCGCGTGTGCTTCTGCTTTTATGCGGGAACTGGTCCCATGTGTGTGTGTATGCAATTGCGGCTTGTATCTTCTAAAGGAATCGATAAACTGAATTCATCAGTCATGAATAATTCACTTCGATGGCTATTTCACGAAAATTTATCAATTTGTTATATCGTAACATTGAAGAATAAGTTGGTGGATATTTTCGTTTAAAATCGTGACTGGAATTGATAGTTAACGTGAAATGATGGTTAATATGATTGCTAAATATTAGGATACCTGGTTTTAATAAATGTAAGGAATTTTCAGGATTTATCCAGATGGTGGAGTAATGTGGAAAGAGCTGCAGGTGGAAAAAATTGGCTTTGTTCAAATGATCTGGAGAATACCAGAAAAATCCTTACATAAAAATTATTATTTCGAACCACCCTTTTATTACTCTATATTAGCGTAAGTGTTGTCCATCGAGGTTTAACATCCCTCAAAGAATATTTATTTCAGCCCTTCGACAATTTTTCGTAATAGACAAGTGTCCTAATACTTATGAACGATAATGTATTTCTTATTGTCAATTTTGAATACCACGAACACGGGATCGTGGATGTGTACGGAAATTTATGAAACCGTAACTGAAATAGAAATTCGTGTTCTTTTCTTAATTAGTAAAAAATATGTACATGATTTAACATGATTGAAACACAATGAAGGAAAGACTTCGGGAAATATATATAATGTACATACCGTGTTCCTTAATTTAATTAATTCCTTAGTAGCTGAAAATAAAATTCCTCTTTGATTCCGATTTTTAGAAAGTAGTCTGCAGGAATTTGAATCTGTACAAAAATCCGTAATGTTTTCCGAATTGTTAATTGAAACAGTAGAAACCGTCACATTGGTTTTAAACGAACATTTGCCGAATCTTTGAAAACTTTTTCGATACTTTTCTCGCCGAAAGAATGCTGATTGAATTTTTTGCCCAAGCGGGGAGGACTTAAACGCGTTTATTATTGCAGGCTGCGACGGGGAATCGGACGAAGGTGGGAGCAAGAGACGAAGGAGCAGGACCAACTTTAATAGTTGGCAATTGGAGGAATTGGAACGGGCATTTCTCGCGAGCCATTATCCTGATGTCTTTATGCGGGAAGCGCTGGCGCTGAGGCTCGAGTTGAAAGAGGGCCGCGTCGCCGTGAGTATAATACACTTTTTTTTCCTTGTTCATGATCTTAAAAGTCCCCGAGAAGCGAAATTACGAGCATAATCCTTTCGCCGTTTCAAACGAAAGAAAGAGTATTAGCGTCTACGTGAAGGAAAAAAAATATTGTAAAGTGAATAAACACCATACCAAACATTTCAAGAACACGTCTGAATTATTTACTGAATTACAACAAAGATTAGGAAGAATGTACGCACTTTATATTGAATATAACCATATTTAAGCAATTGACTTTTTTTTTAACCTCAGAAATATCGGTAAATATAGTTATTAATATCTGTTATAAATTTTAACCCCTCCTAGGTTCACACGCGTTAATATTCTAATAAGAAAAAGAAAATAAATGTAACTGTAGTTCATTTCACATACAGGCCTTGCCAAACAAATATTAGGTATAATAAAAAGAAACAATATTATGTATTCTTTTTAACATTTTGACTGCCAAGTCACCCATATGTGTTTGACACTATTTAAGTTTAGAACTAAGAGCAGAATTTTCTGGTAAGATGCTGAATAGATTCAATTGAAACTTAAAAGATTCGAGAAGATTCAAGAAATAATCACTGTAACAAATCTAATTTTCGAAGTTTAGATTTCATTAAAATATATTCATTTGACTATGCTAGAACTTTTATAGATGTTGATCGATCCATGTATTAATATAAGGGTGAAAATAAGTACCTTGATTTATTTGTCACTATAGATACACTGGAATTAACAGTAGAACCACTAATGTTGAATATACCTACACTAAACTAAATAATTGTACAATACATCGATATGTATAATATTTAAGTTCAGAACTAAGAGCAGAACTTTCTGGTAAGATACTGAATAAATTATAATTAAAACTTAAGAGGTCAAAGAAATTGTAGTAATAGTCACTTTAACAAATCTAATGAGTGTAATAATAATTGAGTTACAGAATGATATTCAATTCTAACAAACGAACAGTATTACAAACGACAGAATATTCATAATCGTTTTCAATCACCACGTCGCGACACATGTAATTATCTACTCCCGTTCCACAATCTCACCCCAAAAAAAGTGATGTAAGCACAAAAAAGAGAGCACTTTTATTACCGGCCGATTTCACATTCGGTGTAGCTTTTATCTGACGTCCCGAGATCGGTCTGGCCGATAGTCGGGGAATTTATAGCGACTTCGTCGTCATTTTTCGAGGGGTTGATGCCCGACAGACGTCGGGGGTGGCTCGGGTCCCGGAGCCTCCGGCCTCCGTAGCCACTCTCCCGGGGGTAGTTAGTCCATCTGCTCGGTTCTGAGTGCGGTTACCTTAGTAGAGGCCGAACTGTCCCGGTTCGAATGTGTTCGGGGGTAGTAAACTGAAGAAGATCTATCTCGGGGGGTTGGTGTGCCTCCGACTACCGTGTCCATTTGAATAATGAAGAGAATTTTATGCGGACATCATTCCTTTCCTCGTGGTTTTTTTCTCCCCCGAATGGGGGAGGAATTTCTAATGAAATTTCGAGAACCTCGGGATTTCTCCGTGCAACGTAGCGAATTTTTATTTTATGAATTTCAAGAAGAAAATACATATTCGCTACGGAAGTCATTATGACGTTCGTGCAATTTTTAACTGTCTGTTACTTCTACTTTGGAATCGAAATCGTGACAGGTGAAAGAACTAATAATTACTGGACGATATTTAAAGCTGTAATAAATAATGAAAATCCGTATAAACTTCATGGCTACATTTTATTCGAGATAGTTTTCCATATAATCACCTCGCGAATTATCGATTCACACCGATTCCATGCGTTGGAGTAATTTGTCAACGGGCAGGAAATCGATTTCGCGGGGAAAACGCTTTGAACGTTATCGCGAGTACCAGCGGTTTTTCCCTCTTAAACCGTGGTACCGCGCCCTCGTCATGTATATTTCACGGAATGAAATAAATGTAAGTGATATTATTCTTAATTTATTCGCCCGGAAGCTTTGATCCACTGATAATTCGGCGCCCCACGCGAATCCTTTTCGCGTGAAAGTTCTGCGATCCCGCGTATGTACACACTCGTGATACGCTCGTTCTAAGACTAAACTTTCCATGACTGGCTGCCATTCTTCATGTAATCACCGATGTTTTGCTCCTAATTGACAGGCCATATTTTTAAAGTTACATAGTCGGTGGTGTTTCCATTAAACGCTCGGTTGTTTTCGTTCTTGGGTGGTTCTGCCGCGAATATCAAGGCGAAGTCGATCCTTCATTTCATAAGAAACGCTGCTTTTTGTCGTATTTTATCAACTTTATACACTATATACGATCAGAGTAATTAACCCTTTGCCATACGATTTCTTTTACGATTTCACTGGCAAGAATTACTTTATCGTTAATATTTTCCGAGACAGAAAAGGAATTCTATTCTTATATCAAGTGTTACATTTATTCTAATCCATAAATGTTAACACCAGCGACACAGTATTTGACGTCGACCTAAAGAAAACAAATAATATATATGTTTACTAAATTCACTTTGAAATCGTTATCACGTGTCTGACTCGACATTGTAAGGCAAGGGGTTAATAGATATAAGAAAGATTAATTTATGATTAAAAAAATGTGATTTTGTATCTTTTTCTATTTGACTTAATAGCAGCTTTTCATTGACAGATTTCTCGTGTCTGGATGGAATATTAAAATCGAACTTAGCTTCTGAAAAGAGATCGTAAATGATACGTTGGATCTATGACTGTAGCCGGTCATAAAAATGTGAAAAGACTCGGCGACACCCTTTTCGGTCTTTCGAAACCGAACACACCAGACACTGGAACATGACATGATGGTGTCCTTCAATGGGGCCTACGAGTGGTGGACCCTCAATTTCACGGCCGATCGAGCACGAGGCTACCCTCATATTCTCTCCTCGCGATAAGATATTTATATTTATGTGCTTAGACACGCTTCAGGTGCCATGTGCCCGGCGCATATTGCTCACATCGAACCGATACGATCTCGGTTACCGAGCATCCTTTCATGTGAATATCATATAAAATACAGCTTCCTCAATTGCAACAACGTGATTAAGTAATATTCCAAACAATTAGGACGCCGACTGGATATTCTGAAACCGAGCAAGTAGACTATGTCTCGAAAAAATTATTAGGAGGTTATCTTTTTGTAAATATTCAACAGTGTTCATTAAACGCGATGGAACGCTAAACAGAATCACATTAAGACATGAAAATACTGTACACTCTGTAACAATCTACTCTTTAATATGTAGATAAACGAAAAACTATTTTACCATAATATGAATAAAAAAACGGGCAATTCTTGTAAAATGACTCCTTTAATCGAACGCATTACCATAATATAACAAATTAAATGGAATTAATGGGATAAAAGTTTAAAACACCGAAACAACTCTATTAAAAGAATAATTACCCGATACCCATGCAACGGCGACCGTCGCGTCATCGCATATTCATTATTTCTTTCTCATAAAGTTATTTTTACAAACAAAAACTGCCCCTTCATATCGAACTAATTAATTATTCCGCTATGCAATTTCAAGAATATTCAAGTTCTGCATATGTACGGAAATTTATAATTCTACAAATTAATTTACGGAAACCAGACGGAAGTTCTAATCTGCCTCATTCAATAACAGTTTCATTCAACTGAAAATAAAAAGGAAACTTCGTTAGTACTTGCTAAATCATTCTTATGAACGTGATCTGTATGTTAATACAAGCAGTAACTGTTAAATACAATTAATTTAACACAGAGAACCGCCACACCCGTCAAAATTACGGATTGCCGATTTCTCATTTTACGATTATTGAAATTATAATAGTGCTTTTGGCGGAATTTATGCTAGCTTTTAATTTACTATACACTTTATGTTATATATATATGCACATACCCACAAACGTAATATGAAGTACAATTTAGCATAATATAGTATATCATATTTTATGGTTCCACACACTTAAGGTCGCAGTAATTGAAGCATCTACTCTACTAAAATTTGAAATCGATATTAAAAAACCTAACAAAAATAAAGCTACATATCCAAACACAGTAACTTCCTTGTTCACTACGGTACATGTTCAAAATATAGAGCTTAGAATTCAAAATTATATTATGTACGACCAACTGTATATTACTATAATTATAAAATTTAATTATAAAATTTAATTTTAATAGTATATTACTATAAATTTAAAATTTAATTCAGTACACATTCAATACCCTAATCTTAATTAAAAATGTTTCACACGATTGCGTTCGATACAAGCGTGAAACGCCAAGGTGTACGCGACACGTTAAACCAGGCGTTGAAATCACCGCGCAAAACCGTAGCTCCACGCGCTGGCTACAGCAGCCGTGTTCCACGATCACCAATAAATGGGATCTCTGTTCCCAGCGCGGGGCGAAAAAGCGAGCGACCTTGGTGACAGGGGCGATCCGTAGATAACCCTGCTGGTGGTGACACGATGTCACGCAGCCGGTGCGTCTTCTCGAAGGGTCGAGATCCAGGGGTAGCCGTCAGATTAGATAGTTGATCCCCATGACAGATAACCCCGTACGGAGCACGGATGCTGGCAACGGCTCTTAAAAAATATTGTCACGCCGAGATAAACCGATGACACGGTCCGGCACGGGCAACTGGAAGCCCAAAAAGGAGTCTGAGAAGCCGTCTTAAGGGGAGGTGCCTGGTGTAAACAGTTAAAAATGAACGAATTTCTGGGATATATTGTGAAGAAAGTAACATATCAATCTCTTTGAAACTTTGATAATACCTTGTTGTAGAATTAAACTGAATATAAAAATTTTTATTTTCAAGGCAAATTCATAAATATTATTTGTATAAGGACTTATTTACAGCCAGTAAAACAGGTGTTTCATGCCGGGGCATGTAACTAAAAAAATATTGAACCAACTGTCTAAGCCTTGCATGTATATATACTTTAACATCTTATTCACAGCATGAACCGATTTTGAAGTT